AAGTTTTACACGATTCAATATTGAGGGGTTTGATTTGAAATTGATATGATGGGTTCAATTCATTTGATATATTATGCATCTCCTCCAACACTTTCATATTGAACTTATAAAAAATAGCGGATTATAAACCGTGTTGGGATGTCTCTATTTTTCTGCAATAATTTCAAAACTCCTAAATTGTGTACTTTTCATCATTACTCAAATGTAGAAATTGCACATAGTGTTCAGTTTGAATTTTACTTGAGCTTTGCAAATTTTAATATTTGTTCATAGCTTGAATTTTTGTATGAAAATACATGCACACAAATCTTAATTAATCATCAATAACTGATACATAATACAACTTTTCAAAAAATGAAATTTTTAGAATATAAACTTCTGCCGACACTTTGTATATACTCAAGTAGATTAATGATTAATGAGTTTCAACATTAGAATATTCCCTATAATGTTTGCTCATAACATAATGTTTACAAAATCCTAATAGAACATTAACAACATATGTAAAGTACAAAATTACTATTCACAATGAGTGTTAAGTACTTCTTAATCGCGAGTCATCTCATTTCAAGTTATAATAAAGCTGACTTCATCAGATTTGGTATTGTACTCTAACATTGTTGTGCTTTTTTATTCTTAAAATAATTTTGTCCCATATTCTTATGTTGATCATTGCCTTTGTAGAAGAACTTCACTCAAGTATTTTTGGAAAAAAATGTCCAAGATAAATAAGACTTCTTTTCATATCATGCATAAATCTAACTCAATAGTACTTGTTGTACTTCATCAAACATTTAAATCTTAATACATTTAATACCTAACATCATCGGTTTATTATTTTTCATAATTTCAAGATCAATCATAATTGTGAAAAATGAGAAATATAATCTCATATCTGATGTTTGATTTTACATGATAATAAGTAAATAAATTCACACTGTAATAGCCAAATATTTCAATATTTAACCTTGAATAAAAATATTATTAAAACATGTATTCAAGATTGATTTTGATAAATTAATTTTAATTTCATCATCATTTTGAAAATTGATGTTATATTTTACTCCATTTAGAGTTAAAAATGAATTGTAATATTTTCAACTTTATTGACAAAGATGATATAACTGCATGATAAGGAGAATTTATTTTGAAATTTATATATTTTATATTGCTATATATTTGGTGTGAATAATAATCATAATAATAGTACACATGTATTTCAAAAAATTATTACAAATTTATGCATCAATAAAAGAATACGCCATGAGATGAGTCAAGATGTCAATATATATTTAGTTTAAAAAAATCAGAAGATGTATTCATTTTTAACAAGAAAAAAGAATTATAGCTAAATTTCATAAGAACTATTAATTGTATATTTTAATTCAAGAGATTCAGATTCTCTATTAATTTGTTGATGATGTTTTCTGCATACACGATAAAACTATATCAATATAAAGTTGTATATATAAATTAACAAAATTCATGAAAAACTATACGTTCCACCAATATGATTTTGTTTTTTTTTTTAAAATAGCTATATACGTTACAGAGTCAAGAACTGAAGATTATGATTTTTCATAGACAAAATCATTGTGATGTGTAGCTAATTTTTAATCAGGTGTAGATAGAATTTTTTTGATAATTTCTTGAACTTCTAAAATTGATATCATTGTAATGTCCTAGTATTGAACAATCTTTTTCACAAACTGCTAACTCATTAATCCGTAGACATTTTGTTAGGTTAACTTTATATTGGATTAACTTCATTTAGTGATAATCACGATAAGAAAAGTCAACTGTGGTTAGGTTAGTAAAGATGTGCACCTTATCTCTTCCATTCGTTACGCATAATTTAGAGTTTCACTTTGAGAGTGAGCATGGAGTAGGAGAACTTAGCTATGAAGACAGTGTATACATTTGTGCTTAAGTGAACTTTCTACGCTTGCCCGTGGACATAGTTTGTAGAAGGTGAACCAGATTATCTCAGTGTTCTAACTCATGTGGGTGTTGATAGATCTTGATGGTTGGACCTTACACTTTTAGCTATTCTTCAGAGTTATAAGCTTATTTGATAGAAAAGATTTGTCATTTTATAATGTTTTTAGAATTACATTCAAGATACTCAAACTCTTCATGTATTTGGAATTTTATAATAACGTTTTGTCATTAAAAAATCTGAAGTTTACTTCCATATGTTTAACCTTATCACAACCCTGGATGACAAAAATTAAATTTACATGTCATCGTTAAGTTTGGACTTTTCTGAAACTTCTTTTTATCATTCAATATGATTACAAGCCATTACGAAATTTGTGATTGTCAAAAATTCAACATGTCTTGGAATATTTCAGGTGAAAAAATCAATAACAAATTTGAATCAATTAAAATTGATACCTAGTCAAAACAGAGTAAATGATCAATAATAGTAAAAGATATCAGTTGACTTTTATTGAATTACAAAATGGTTTTTTCATACACAATCTTAAAAAATTACTCTTTAAATATATCTCATTGAATGTTATTTTCTTGAATTTGATTATATCAGTTAAGTTTAATCATGGCTAATATGAATCTAATCACTAATTACTATTTTTTAACTAGTTGCAAAATAGCAATTTGAAAAGCTTCAATTTCTACAGTAAGTAAGATCTAGTATGAAGATCTGAAATTTTTGTATAAAGTACTCTTGAGTAGTGATTTGCTGTCTATCTAGGTTGAAGATTATGTATTCTGACTAGCCAAACTTGAATCAACAAACCCTTCTGGTTAAGTTGTAAATAACTAGGATTATAGCAACGAGTCAATTGCTTTTAAAGTCAAACTAACTTGAAAAAGTGATGGTGACGATTAATTAAAATCAGTAAAAAAAGAAGTTAAATTCAGCAACTAGAGGAATCACTTTGAGTAACAAAACCATTGAATACACAATCTACATAATATGTATATCTAAAATCCATCATTTAGGAGTTATTTGGAAAAAAATTCTATCCGCAATTTCTATCCGGTATTTAAGTTTCTCTATTGGGGGTATAAATAATGAGAGTGAGAATTCATTGATCAAAATATGGATTATAGAACCTCCACATTTAGTCATAGGAAAAAGTGAAACTTAGTAAAATTCTCGAAGAGCAATCAAGAAAGTGCACAATATTTTAACCTTTTTCTTGTGTTCAGTAAATTTTAATAAAATCTTGAAAATTATAAATGATGCTCACTTGCATGGCTTGAAAGTTCCCAAGCACTTTGCAATATTAATTTAAACCACAAAGCTAATGAATGTTTATGTTTGAAACGAGGTCAGATAAGTATTCACTTGTTGCATTCTATAATTCAGACTTCTCGATGAGAAAAATGTTACTTGAACAAACTGGAAGAGTGAGATATTCTGAGGAAGCAATGGTGCGAAGATAGGATACCTTGATCCCAAACAATATAAAAAATTGTAAAGACGTAGACATTGTAAATTCTAGTTAGTCCACTCTCTTTGACATTTGAAGAGGTTTAAAATATAACAGCTAGATTGTAAGCCCATTTACAAGAGCCAATATACAGTTTCTTTGTTAGCAAGTTCTTGTTAAACTCATTTTAAAGTAATTGCTTGCTGAAAAGAATATGATTCAATGAAATACAACCCCTAGATCTATCAAAAACTCTTCAACACAGGCGAACTCAGGGAATCTTCTTTAATGAACAAAACTCTCACAAATTCAATAATTTTGACAACTTTTCATGATTTTTCTAATTGGGCCACAGAGTTTCAAGTCTATGGCCCCTCTTTGATGGACTTATAATAATATAAGTTATTAATCTGCAAAACTTCAGTCCAGATGCATCGTGCATTTCACCTTGTGTTCGAAGGGAAATTCTTGTGAAGACATTCATTTGGTTTTCGAGGTTCGGAGTGTTTGGGTCGAGGAGCTGCGAAGCACATCACTCGGTCATGTGAAGGTCAGGAATGCGATGCACGAGAGATTGCCTCTGCCAGCGCACCGGCGATGGCGAGAGTCCGAACGCATAGAGTCGCAGGAGCGAGTGGTCCGAATGATTGCAGCCGGAGACGGAAGCTCCGAGTTTTGAGAAAGGTCAGCTGGCAGCTGCCAATCGCAGCGAGACCGAAGTCGCAAGCCATTTATTGGGGCACATGATGGAGCGACATGCACGACCGCATGGCATTACAGTGCACCAGAATTGGTGACAATATTCACAGAAAGCTGGCCTCCGTACGCCCGTAACACTCATTGTTTCGTGGGCGACAAGGTTTCGATGATTTGGGTCTCGGATTCAGGGTGGCAATGGTGGCTGGGCGGCCGGTCCATACCAACGACGTCTTCCTCGTACGATATCAAAAGCAGAAGCCCAGCTTCCTGTCGACCGCAGCGATGCTTGAGGTCCGAGGTTTGCGAGTTGGGTGCCGGCTGCCTAGAAGTCCTCTTCGCCTGCAATTGACGGCCATCGGAATCGAATTCGCCGAGACGAGGGGAGCCACATGCGCTCATGTGTATCACTGAAACATTAATGTTTCAGTGATTGCTTTCCGGCCTGGGCGTGTGCGGATAATCTGTGTAAAGCGTGAATTGATCCTAGTCCCACCAGTCTGGAGAGATTGCTCGATTCCCACAGACGATCTTCACGGCTAGCCAGATCTCGTTATCCTTTGCCGGTTTGAATGCATGCATTCTCCTTCCGTCCTGGGAAAGACGAGCTGTGATCTGATGACTTCAGCTCGAAGAAATGAAACGTGATCACCTCGGGATGCTAGTTCCGAGGGTGAATGATCCAAAGAGAGTCGCATGCGGTCGATCTCGTTAGCGCACACGGCAAATCTTGAAATGTCAACGCATCTTCCGCATGTGTACGGTTTGGAGTCCCTACGACTCGGTGTGCTCCCGAACGCACTGCACCCACAAAAGTACAGGCCATTCCAAGAACTGCGAGTCTGAATGCATGCATCTGAATGCAGGCGGGGCAAAGGTTCGTAGAAAGTGTGGAATGTGGTGACATGCGGATGACAGGTTTTCGAACTCGTGAGGGATTTGGCGAAAAGACTCGGGGTTCTCAAAGACACAAATGGGACCCTGAGGTGGGTAACGTAAGACTCTTGGAATCACAAAAGTGCCTGATGCTGCAAAGTCTCTGTGAGATTCAGAGTCTCAAACCATCATAAGTTCATCGGAGCACGCACGAAAGCCCCGGCCATGCCAATAACTGGACAGTGTGATGATGATTAAATGATTCTGCGTTCTGCACTCTCGTTCTTCATCCTGGTTGCGCCTAGAACAGGTTTCCAAATGTAGCGTCGTCGAAATCTGGACCAGGAAACAACATTTACCCTGCATTCCGAACACACTCGAACTCGCAATGTGCAATAAATGGGAGTGTCTCTTATTCTCCAAAAAATACGAACAATTCCCTCTCGCATTAAGGGCGACGGATCCCTGGTGCATGACGTGAGGGAAAGCGTCCGGAGCAATCAATACTGCTGCCATCTGCAACCACGCCCTGTTTATGAGGTTTCTGGCCTTCTTTCTATCCTGAGTTCTCCAGTCGTATGATGTTTCCTCTAAATCGATCGTACAGCATGCAAGATTGTCGAGGACATTCCTTCATTCTCCACTCAATAAATGTGGAAACATTAAAATTATTAGGAGAAAAGTGAGCATTTGCTACCTCAGTTATGCGCACCGAACCGGTCACGATGCGAAGCACCTGGGTTTCATGTGCTCTGCTCCGCGTACACGAGCGCCCGAGCTTCAGGGAAGATTCAGAGATCACGCAACTCCGAGCAATCGCGTCGATGATCCGGATTGCTCGGATCATCGACGCGATTGCCCGAGAACACTCGAAATTCACGACTCCGAATCCCCGCAAGAATGAATGGGCTTGCATGAAAAGAACCCCGTCCTCGCAAAATCGAACCGAAGCTCTCTGTCACACGAATCGATTGACAAGATCGGAGAGAAATCTGCGCTTTTCGTGATCCTTGGGGATTCTTCGTCTCGGCCACCGCGCGCCCTGCCTTCTTGCCGCAAAGGGGGCCATGCCGAGGCCATGTGACAGGCCTTGAGTCCCCGGGCTCGAGCTCAAGCAGCGGCGCTTCAGAAGCCTCGCGCGCCATCTCGATCCGTGCGGGCGTCGGCCAACGCAGTCGGAGCGTACGGCGAAGGCTGCAGGTAATGTCCTCGCCGCCTGCAACGGCGTAGGTGACAGGTCCGTACGTGGTTGGGCGGGGAGCGTCGTTGGTTCAGGACGAGTCGAGGCTGCGGATGATGATGATGAGCTTGTGGATCGATGGCGGGTGCGAATCGGCCGAGGATATGGTTGTCGTCAGTGGAGTGAATGCGCGAAAGGTATCGGGAAACAGGATAACACGATGTGGGTGGCAATCCGACAAGGCCTGGGAAATTCTCGAGCGAGCAATAACGATCTCACATCTTCCTGAAGGGTTTGACATGAAATCTGTGTCATTATTCGTGGGCTCGTTTTAGGGCGGGTTAGTTCAGGTAGGTCGCGCACTGACTGGCACGGCGAGGGATTTTTTCCTCAGGAGTTTAATAGCATCGAGCCGTACGGGAATTAGCGAGCGAATCGCGTGACTTGGAGCTCGGGCTGGGGGCACTTGATTACTTGTGTGAATGGAAATTCGCTATCGTCGCACCGAATGCCCGATGGCCTTATTTCTTGCAACTACAGCCACAAATCTTCAGGTAATGATCGAAAGATTGCGACGGTGGGTTCTGGGGAGGGGTAATGTTGTTCACAGAGCCGTGTAGTCAAGGTTGCAGGCTGCAGGTTTAGACTCGCTCAGGTTGTGTCCTGTCCGCACAAATATCACGTGCACGAGGATATGAAAAAACGGCGTCCGGTTTTCAAATAGGTGATTTTCACGACTGAAATTTAAAGTCTGAAGTCGGTTCTCGAAGCCCGGATTCCGCTCAATGTTGTCGACATCATGGTCGGATGTGACAGTTCAAGACATGTAGCTACGTAGCTACAGTCTGGACGTGTTCAGATTCGACCTGCTCTTTCACATCCTACGATCTGCAGCGTGTCTGATACTTAGCCTCGATCACTTTAAATTTCCTCTTCCCGTCCGATTTGGTGATTCACAGAAGAAATTTGCCAACAGAAGGGTAGTCTTCCGTGAGGATGAAGTTTGGCCATGTCTTTCAATGAGGCAGAGAATCGCTGCTCGCAGGCAGTTAACATTTCGGAGATTCCCGATAAATCCGCTAGGACGTGGCGTTGGCAAGTTGCACTATGGGCAGTTTGACAAACGGACTTTTGTTCGTTGTCATGGCTCCGTGCCTGCACGTTCAGGCTGCCATACCGGGGAAACCAAGCGAGAAGGACGTCAGGCCTACCGATCGATTCGCTTTCCCATTAAAAGTTTACTAGCTGTGCGTGGACCGAACTGTCCACCAAATTGACAGCTGTAAAAGTTTCACCATATATAATTTCTCTGTACATACTAGGACATGTACAGAAATTCATATGATAAATAACAGATAAATAAAGAAGAAAAGCAAAACAGTTGTACCGCAGCCGCAGTATAGATTCAGAAGTGCACAAGCAGGGAACAAGCCGGTGACGGCAACCTCTTTTGCCAAGACTGTACCTGTCATCACAGGATTTAGTGACAGGGAACCTCTCTCTTTGTCGAGAATGTCGGCAATGGCAGATCTGTACACAATCCCTGATCTTCCTTTAGACATCAGGTCGCATCCATTAAGAGCACTAAGACCTGCGAAAAAAGAGAGAGCTACATCGGCGGGCACACAAACTCGGCTCAATATATTGAAACCGGTAACCGTATGGACTGGACAAATACAGACGCTGCCGATTAGAATGGGGAACTGAGAGCTGTTTTCTGTTCAGGGAAATTTTATGTAAAGGTCGGAAGAGAGCTTTCTGTTTACCATCACTAAAAACCACTGCGCACCTACACAAAATTTTCACTTTTACTCTTGAATTTGAAAGTTATATCAAATGATGGTCCAAAGTTTCTTATTCCCAGATCCAGTGACACTTCCTAGATCAAAAGAACTGAACTTGCTACATAGCTCCCGCTGGCATGGATAATTTCAGAATTATCTAAAACTCTGACAAGCTGGAGACTGTCTTACCGAGCAAGCCAGCCTGTACTCGTCCTACGGCTCCTCACTGTAACCACTGCATCCTGCAAACCCTTACTGCTAGACAGAGTCCCTCCACCACATTCCTGTGACTGCAAACAGCTAAGAAGTTGCCATAAACCTGAAGATTCACACAAGTAGCTGTGTAGCTTATGTACAAGTGAACCTCTGTCCGCTATACTTCACCTCGAACCCTAAGGTTGCAAAAAAAAACCCCGCTCAAGCAATGGAGGCTTCGGACACTCTACGAACCGTGAATGACTCTTTAAATTCCTCTGATTTCTGCCAAGTTCGAAGAGTTGTAAGGTTGCTGCATTGATTGCCGTCCTTAGGTAGGTAGGTACTTCCCAGATTTACACTCAAAATTGGAACTTTACCACATTTGCACTTCCCTGTCAAAAATCCAGCTGAAAGGCCCTGTCTTGGGAGATCTCTTGGGTTTGAGTTGGGCACGCTCGTCCAGCTTCCTGATGCGCGGAGCAAGCGTGCAGACGAACTCTTGGGCTCGTCTTCCTTCGCCGGACAAACCTTCGATCTTCGGTACGTTCCATCTAGCTACAAGGTGCTCCAAAATGTCGGCGTAATCTCTGGCGGTGTAAGTACCCGTCCTCTGTGCGACCATGGAAAAGTTACTGAATAAATTTTGATCTACTCCATCGTACATCAGATGGGCTGGCATAGCGATTTTCTTCCTCATCATGTCTCCGAAAGCCAACATCGCACCATCGGGATCGACCTCAAACAGTTTCTCCACGATCTTACTGTACGCATTCTCGTGTCGCCTCTCGTCGGCTGCGATAAGTCCGCAAATAGTGGCCAGCTTGGCATCACCAAAGTCCTTTGCGTGACGCGCTGTATTTCCGTGCGAGATAAATGTTGCTCGTTCTTGAAACGATGTGTAGACAAATCCAAGGTAGGGGTTGTTCTCCGTTTGTGGATCCTGTTCATGCAATCATGCCGGTAAGTATCGCGAGGCGAAGATTCTGGTGGCTTCACCATGTGACTTATTGCCCTACGTCTTGAACATTCCGTCTTATCGGGAATCAGCGCAAAAGTAGCCACATGCATACAAAAAAAGGTGCTACAACATCCTGTCCTTATTACGAGCATCTTGGCACTTTTTGCCTCGACTCGCACGATGAACACCACGACGAAAAGATATTCAGATGGCCAGGAAAGCGCTTACCATTCCAGAACCAATCAAGTACTGAATGGTCTTCTCGATAGACCTCATATTAACACGGCCTGTTAAATACAAGTACTTGTTCAGTAGATCTCCGTGTCTGTTTTCCTCCGCAGTCCAAGCTCGTGTCCACACACCCCAGGGAGTGAGACTAGCACCGGTTTCGTCTTTCGTGCCATCGAGAGTGTTAAGCATCGTCTGATAAGTTGGTAGAGCCTCCTCAGTAATCATATCTCCCACCAGAACTACGAGGTAGTCGTCAGGCAATTCTGCAGCTCGTGCACGTAACTCCTTCACCTCCTCGTAGAACCCTTCGGAAGATGGCTCCGGGAGATGATCTTGCGGTTGCCAGCATTTGTCCACTGGTTTCAAGAACGGCAGCAATGTCTCCTCCGCCCATGTGTCAAGAGACTGCACAATTTCCAATTTCGATGGTGGTATGGAGTGTAGGACCTGCTTGTGCGTCTCATGAGGGACGTATAAACCAGATACCCTGCAACATAAGAACTGCAGTTACATTCATGCCTCGTCTTTTTATCGAAATGCAACTCGCCATTTAAGTACCCCACTACGTCCCGCTTCTCCGTACAGGTAGCGATCAAGCAAACTTCGACGAATCTGGAAAAATTCCGCGACTCATCGACGACGCATTGTGTGTCGATTCCCGTGCGAATCGTACGTTTGATCCTCTGGCTTCGCAGCGTTCCTAACTCTTCGCCGACATTACACCTACCCTGCGGCTAGGGGCTGTTGCTGCCCGCCTGGCCGGGTTTCATTTCTTCCCAAGCAAGACCTAAAAAGATTGCTTTATCCTTCACAAATTGTTGAAGAGGCGGAGTTTTCTACGCACCAGACACGATCACAAAGGCATTTCTACAAACAATGCAGCGTTCTCTTCCCATTCTCTTCCCAGTCCAAGAACCACATGAGGATTTCTGCACACACACACTCCTCATCTTCGCTGGAAGCCGGCATGCGCTGGGTAGTTTAGAGTGGTGGAAAATGCAGAGTAAAGAAACTTACTTGCGATCTGCTTTCGGAGGCATGGTGGCCGTCATGGTGATAGTCGTGGCCTGTCCGGTACCAGAGGATGAGCTGACTGAACTCTTCGACGAGAAGGAATTTACACAAAATCGCTGTCCCGTGATCCAGGCTGAGGAGCTCAATCTCGTCGGCACGAGCGACTTCGCCATATTAGTGGAATTCGAGGAGGTAATTTTAGAGGTCATCGGGCAAGAGGATGCGAGAGTCTCAGCTCTCGGAACCACCGCGTAAGCAGGAACCGCCATTGTTCCTCTCGCTTTCAACTGTCAGAGAAAAGAGAAGACACTCAGAGAAGTGAGTCGCGCGCGCCGGATTACAACTCCCAGAACGAACGCACAATCAAACCAAGTCCAAAACCTACATTCAAACTTCAGACCAACCAGCAGCGAGGGGCGTCCGTCCCGCACACACAGAGATTGGACGCTCGATGCCACTTTCGATTACTCACTCAAAACAGAACACAGCTAGCGGCAACAACAAACTGTCGTCTAGCCAAGGGTCGAATCCATCGGCCCGGCTGCAGGCGTGAACAGAGGAGACACAGACGCAGGGTAGGTGCAGAGACGAAAACACAGATGGAGGCAGGGAAACGGGCTGCGCACGAAATGTCAGCCACTTGAGGGGCAGGAAACGAAAGAAAAGCGGGGAGATGGAGAGACAGAGCGAGGGCGGATGTGGAGGTGGTCACACAGACAAGAAATGGGATGCGCGCCAGCTTCCTCTTAATTCAAGATCTCTTGCAACACCACGATGCAGCAGAACGAAAGGAAAGGCTGAAAAGAAGACCGGCAAACTGCAATGCACGCACTCACATGCGAAGGAAGGAGAAATCAGGCGCAGATCACGGCGAATCGCTCTCGATCACTCTCTCCTCTGCCTCACACGAAAGACCTAGCGAGCACTGGATCTCGATTCTCGGCTCTTAAGCGCTGCTAATAAGGCTATGGCCGATTCCCGTGGTGGGATGAAGGAAGGTACGGTAGCCCGGTCCAGTCCAGCCCAGCCCGACGCGAGGCGCGCTAGATGAGAATTCGTCCCCGGCCCAGCGCCGGCGCCTTCAGAAATAAGGCAGGCGCAGCTGCCGAGCACAGCCCGAATAGTGACAAAGGAAAAGGCAGGCCATTGGCGCGGGGGGGTGGGCGGCTCCCACCGGACCGGGCTCCCAAGCACGGAGGGGAGGGCAGGCGCCCGGGCCGGGGTGGGGCAGGGCGACGGGTGAGCGGACGGGCGTGGGGAGGGGGAGCGAGAAACCCGATGGGCCTCTGGAGCCCGAACGGAAGCGTATGGCGCCAGCTCGTCCGGTACGCAGTTCCAGCTGGCCCCATGGACGCCCCCAAGGCCGCGGCCTCAAGCGACCGCGATGGATGCATGAGTCCACATCAAATCTACTCTTTGCAGTCCCGTCCCCCCCTAAAAAACTGATGGCCCTCGAGCCTGGTTCGGCTGACTCAGCTCCCCTCGCCCTCCACGGCGACAAAACTCAACCGCGCACCGTGGGGTGGCAAGCTTCCCCCACGTGTCCTCTCTTCCCTCCTCCCGTCCACCCATCCCCGCCCTCCCCTCCCTTCCCTCCCCGTCCCCGTCCCTTACTCTCTCACCGGGTTCGCACACCAACCACACAGCAACCCTCTGCCACATGTTTCACTCCGACGCACGTAGTAAGTGCGCCGTCCGTCCAACCGAGTCGTGGTGATTCGCAGTTCCCGAGAGCTTCTCCGCGGCGGGCGATTGGATGAAATCCTTCCGGTCTTGCATTCCGGTCTCGGGATTGGCTTGCGGCATTACGCTCGCTCTGACCGCGCGTGCACTTACTGCGGCGAGCCCCATCGCAACTGCGACCGCCTTTCCGCCGTCGGGGCTCGTGCTCGGTCGTGGACGTAATCATCCGCTTTCCGCCTCTCACCTCCGTCTAGTCAGCAAGGGCGACGGAGCGATACCAACCACGCACGCAGCCAGCCAGCCAGCCAGCCACGGGAGCCGAGCCGAGCCGAACTCCAAATCGGGCTCCACGACCGAGCGGCGATATTTTGCCCAGCGCTGGAACTCCTTCCCTCCGCCCGCTCTTCCAATTAGCGCCCGTGGTCGTCGCAGCGCGCGCTTTGACGGACGTTGTCTGGACAGCGCAATTTCCCGTGACGAGTCAGCGCATTCGGACTCTTCCCGAGTCAGCAATAATTTGGCAGAGGCCCCCCCCCCCCGGTACGACACCAACGGCCCGCTTCCGAACCCCGGGGCTTCTTTGGAGCGTTCTATTTTAGCCCCCCCGCTCTGCTCTGCTCTGCTCTAACGGCCCACATTCCCCCCCCTGCTAAGGTCTCTGGAAGCGGACTGCTGCGTGGGCACCGCGAGCTCTCTGTTGGGGGGCTGATCTGATCGGAGGGTTATGGCGGTAAGCGTGATCGGGTGAGCTTTAATGCGGCTCTGTTGAATATCCTCCTGCACTGCACAGCGCATCCATCCATCCCCGCAAGCCATGGACGGGCATCGACGCGCGTGTTCGTGGTTCGAGGTGGGAGAGAATGGAGAGGTGTTGTAACGAGATTGCCACAGAGAGAGAGAGATCGTCTTCGGCTTTGGACGGGCTGGAGACATTGGAGCGAACCTGGCACGAATTGTGGCTTCTGACGCCCGTCGTAGTGTCACTGATTCACCGCTTTCGTTGCGGTACGGGTGTCGAATCTAGTTTAGATTTTGCTCCTTCGGTTGCCGGCTTTCGTCGAGGATTGTGAAAAGTATCCGGCTCGCTCGACCCTGAAATTCACGCTCACCGAGCTCGGACGGGCTCTGTTGCATCTGTGTCCCACAACCTCGTAAACTGGCACGCGAGTTTCGTTGTAACCGTGGAGCAGCAGAGGTCCATAAGGAGTAGAATAATACTTCTCACAGTAATGAACACAACTGCTTCGAAATTGGAAGTCCTCGTCCTACGTGAGCTTTCGTCATGAGTGGACCAACACATTCTCAATATCTACTCTGGACATTTATTGTGATTCGATGCCTGAAACCCTAAAACTCGGGAGATTCTCTCAGTACATCGGAAGTTACAGAACGCCGATCCTGTAGGCCCGTCGTTCCTCTACCGTATTGCGATCTAATCATTTTATATTCAGTTTTGACCACGAAATGGAGCATCGCTAGATTTTCTGGACCGAAATGAGGTTTCTGCCGTGCCGGACTACTACCACTGGCCGCTGTGTGTACTTTCGGACATTTCTCGGATGATTGTGCTCATCTTCGTTGTATCAATTCTCCTCTTCGTCCACAGCTGCTCGGCGCCATTCATGAGTGATGCTTCTTAAGTTGCATCTCGAAACCAGAAGTCGACGGGTGTAATCCGTGAAAGTCAGTGCCGGAGGACCTTTGACTTCGTAAGTTGAATTTATTCTCCTCGTGATCACTGCACCCGACTATTGCTACAGACGAATCAGCTCCTGGTAGAGAAGCGTCTTAGCCAAACTTTAACGCTAGTGCTGAACTTCAACGAAACAAATCCAAACCATACCGAACCCGGGAACTATCGACATCCAACTTATTGAGAACTCGATCGAACCTTCATGAGAATGTCAACTTTCAACTCTCAATTTCCTTGCAAGCTTTAAGCCTTTCTTCATGACTTGCACCTTAAGGTGTCGGTGATTGCGTACATGCATTGTGAAAATCAATCGTAGACCGCTGCAATTATATGTGAACGGCGTCACTCAGAGTCCTGCTAGATCTGATGGATTTAGGGGGGATGTCTACTCAAGTCCATGTTTTAAGATTAATCCAGATGTGAATATTGGAAATTCCGGATCACCACTGTCACTGGCAGTAAACTGCAGGAACCCCCAGTAACTCCTGCAAATCGTCGTCCAACACCAATAATTCAAACGCCGATGTCTTTTCAATATTGATCCTGCACAGAGTCCTTCAATTACGGAGATTCGCAGTCGACTCGCGCAACAGAGGATGATGGTTTGAATGGCTTGGGGAAGAAATCAATCAACATCCCATTTATCACAACCACCACAAATTCGTGCACGAAAAGTCCAATTTCAATGGCACCTATCAATCTTCTGTACTGTTTAGCGAACACATAACTGAAAAGGGTACGTATTTACATTCCGGCCGGAATGTAAATACGGAAGACGGTTGATAATGTGCGCCGAGCGAAAGACAACCCAGTGACATACTGGAATTGATTAGAATGCTTTGGAAAGTTCGTCCAATGCATAGAACGCCAATATTGGGGTACATCTAGAAGAGATCAGAGCCGCACCGAGGTCCCTGAGTTCCTCTAAGCTCGATACAGCAATCAGTTCAACCGTCCCGATCCAGTACTCCGGCTTTAAGGTTTTTCACAATTGCTTTGCTGGCCATTGTACATGCTAACTACAGCTGCCATGGATGGACCTGGGTTTGAGATATTGGAAAGAAATTCTTAAGATTTCCAGAACGACAGACGACTTGCGATCAAGTCGCATGTCGGCGTGTGGGTCGATCATCTGCATGCAACATAGATCTTGTTTCCCATGATGGAAATGCAGAATCAACGGGGAACCGAGAGGTCGCATTGTGCTTGCATGGTGGTCATCTGATCATGACAGCCGACAAGCTGCCAACCCATGACTGAGCCAAATGTAAACCACGAGATAGCCATCCGCCTGCCGTGCATGTCCATGTCACTGCAGTCGGCCTCCTGAGAGACACACATGTAGGTCTCGGATAAGTACACAAGTACTCGAGTGAATACCTTCGAAATCCAGCATGTCTACTAAGCTTATTGCTCAACTCGAGACTTAATCTCCAGTCGCATCCGGTGAGTCCCATGTCATGTCCTCTCTTACTCTGTATTCGACGAGAAGAACATTTCTCATTCTCATTCTAATCATCCTGAATCCCCTCAGAATTCACCTCTCAGCATCATTGTCAAGTGATCCGGCGCTTATTCTCAGGCGGGTGTCTGTGCGTCTTGTGAGTCCTCCGCTATCCTCAAGATTTTGAGCCTATCGATGCATTGGGGAACATGAACATCGTAAGATTCGAAGCTCGTGGCGATCACACGCGCAATGGAAATTTCGCTTCGATACGCGAGTACGCGATTCTGATCAAAATCAATCTCGTGTAAGCCGGCACCGTCTGGTATTGTAGGCGTCCAGAACCGAAGGAAGACTTGGAGACATTGTGCCGGCTGCTGTGAGGCCAAGGGAAGTCCGATCGGAAAGACTACGTATGTCCATCATATCATACATGAAAAAAGCCGAACAGCTTGTAACGATCGCCATAATCTCAACCACGACCACGTGCAACGAAGAAGCCGAAGAACGATACGCTTCAAAAGCTTTGGCAACCGCTGCGCTCGTGGACCCGTGTTCCGAGAAGGGACTGAGAGAGACAGAGGCAGTCTATGCGCCGTATCTAAAATTGGATCGGATGGTCTTTCCGGAAAACATTCGATATTATGGTTCTTAGTTCGAAGCATCTTGCATGCAGCGAGAACAGACTTCGCCTGTAAAGCATGTCATAAAGAAAAAATTCGCCTCATAATTCAGAGTCACACAATTCATCCGGAGAGAAGACAATAATGAAGTCTCCTAAGGCTTCCAACTTTGGCTTGGCTTGGCTTGGCTTTCGCATTTCTCGTCATACGGTGCTCTGATTCGACGGTTCTCACTCTGATTTGGAGTCTTCGAAACGTCGGTGCACGGTTGTGTGGTCTCCTTCCGACCGCACTACATGTGTACGGTAGACAGGATGACTGATAAGCCATGAAACTTGCGATCTGGTGGAAAGCCGAACCCCAGTGCCGAGCCGACTACCACAGCATTAAAATCGGATGACCTCTGCCCGATTTGCTCCTCTGCTTATGGTATGGCCAGAGGAGATCTGTGCTCTTCTGTAATTTTGATAATAAGGCCATGACAGTGTGGAAGTCATCCCAGCAAACGAGGCTGAGACGTCTGCAATGGGCTCGGAGTCTCGGAAGGTGGTCACGAATGACACCTCATGCTCACGATTCTAGAGGGACAAGAACCAGCTCCAAGGATTCGGGAACCCTTCGGTTATTCTGCATGATCCTACATCTC